TTAGCTTTTCGTTTCGCTCATCTGTTTCCTACACGACCTATTTTGTGTTTTTCGGTGTCATTTGAAACTGCATTCTACTGTCATAATAATCTCAGATTTTCTGCTTTGAGTTTGCAGATTTCTTCTTTCAGCTCCTTATACAGATTTTCCAAATCGCTTATCTGCGAATCGATCATTCGCTTTTTATATTACCTTCAGTGGGTTTACTTTTGTTGTCTTCTTAAGACTCTTTCTTTATAAACTTCTATGGTTTTTCTTCTAATTTCATAGGGGGAGACCTTGCAACCCTTGCGCTTTGTTAAATGGGTTCATTTATTTCGCTAAGTAATTTTTTTTTCCACTGGCGACTTCTCTGAAAATCTTGTCGACACTTTGGTAGATATTTCTACCGCATTTATATTCTTAAAATTAGAAATTTAATATTAAGTCTTAAGATATGTGGCTGTTAATCCAGCCAGATTTTTTCTACTGCCGTCCCTTTGAGATCGGACGCTTACCAGCAAGCCGTCCATTCTGCATTAAATGCGAATTCGGATTTTGTGGATTCGTACCACAAGCATGTGTGCTATAGGTGTGTTTCTACTCCCCAATCCGACGGACAAACAGAAAAGAGGATGAAAGTTTTAAGCACTTAATTACGTGCGCACATATTTTTTTTACTACTCGTATTAGTTTGATGCATGGATGGACAATAACATGTGGATAGTTAGTCCTATATGTTTTACTTAGACAAGAATATAGCTAACATAAAGAGAGTGTCTGAGTGTCTTTGAGAAGTAGAAATTCCATCTCTGAAAAATATTAAAATAGAGGAAAAAAAGTTATGGGAAATTAAAAAAAAATCTTGGATCTAAAACATTTAATTTTAAATATATGTATTATTTAAAAAAAAATATTTGTATAAACTAAAATAGAAACGTGAAAGATTGTACTAAAGATGACATAAATTATTTAAAATAAAAAAGATATAATAAGGTAATAGAGTACATTATATTATATTGCTAATAATATTACAGATTATACAAACCAAATCAAATTGAATAAATGAAAGTAAAAAGAAAAAGAAAAGTACAAAATGAAAAGAAGTCATTAACTAGAAAAATGTATAAATTTCGTTAAATGAATTCTTTTTGCTGACATTTTTTAAAAAGAATTTGTTGTTGTGGTCCTTTAACTTTCTCGCCGCTTTCCATAATGAATAATTTGTTGCTTCACTTGGCGTTAAGTTGGTTAAATAATTTTCTATTGCGTCGTTTTTTATCTTATTAAGTAATGTTTTTATTTTTTTATTAGCTTTGTTCAGTTTTTTCTTATTTGATGGAGCCCTAGTTTTTTGCCATATTTTCCTAAGTTTCCTTTTATTATATATTTCAAGCTTCGCAGCTCTCAGATATATTTCCTCCCACTTTGTATGGTTCTGTACCGGTGTTGCTTCTTTATCGGCAGACTCTATTGCTTTGGTAAACTCTACAATCGCCTTAGAAATTTTTCCTTCATCTGTTAGAGGTCTGTTGAAACTTATATGGTGGTCCAATGAATCTCTAAATTTATACCAATCCGTCTGGTTCGAATAAAATTTCGGCGATTTAGCTTCAGTTAGAACCCTTGTAGGGGCATTTACAATTACGGGCGTGTGATCCGAGGATAGGTCTAAACAAGATTCATCAAGTTGTTTACCATGGATGATTTTGGTAACGCAAAAATCGATTAGATCTGGATGTTTATCTGGTTCCGTTGGCCAATATGTTGGTTGACCCGTTCATAAATGGTTTAATCCATTACCTTGCATAGCCATAAATAACTGTCTGCTCTTATATAAAGTAGTTCTTCACCTACAGTGCAAGTGTTTTGCGTTGTAATTACCGCCAGCAATAAATCGTTTCCAAGTGACTTGAAATAATCTTCATACTGGAATTTTGAGATGCTAAGCTTGGGTGGACTATATAAGGCTGAAATAGTGATGGGTCTGAACCAATCCTCAATTACTGCACTTATTGCTTGTATGTACGCTGTATTTTAAAATTATAAAAATAATTTTTAGTTGTAAAATGTGTTTCTGATATAAGATCGATATCTGTATAATGATCATTGATAAAAGTTTTCAACTCTTCTTTGTGTTGACTTAAGCCATTAGCATTCCAATGTGCAATTTTCAGAAGAAAAGGCATTATTTCATTTTTGTAACGAGTGAAGTCAACAGGTTTAGCAGTAGTTGTTTGTCCAAATAGATCTTTCGCCATGACCTTAAGGTTATTGATTTCTTCTGTGAATCATTTTGTACTCTCAACACATTATGTTGAGAGTACAAAATACTCTCATTATACTCTCAACAATATATTATTGTAACGTATTACACTTGAGTAAGAAGTGTCTGGTTGAATAAGGACATTCTGTTGAACCGGTGAATTTTTCTCCATTTTGATTTGTTGCTTGATGTGCAATGGAGGGAACTTCTTTTCTGTAGTTCCTTATAGTGATTACAACCCTTATAATTTGCCGGATGGTTGCCTACGCATAATGCACATTTAACGTTGTCGCTCCTAGTTTTTCGTTGACACTCTTTTGTCAAGTGGTTTCCAGCGCACTTTACGCATCTGGCATCTCTATTACAATATTTGTATGTATGCCCATATTGTTGACTTCTGATGCATTGTGGAATATCCTTTTTCCTATGTGGAGGTTCAAAAGTGACTTTAGCATGCAAAAAAGTTTTTATATTATTGATGTTTTTGTTGTTTTTACTCGGGCATAGATCTATATAAAAGAACGGAAGTAGGGCGCCGTTATATCTGTTCTTGATGTTGTAAATATTTACAACATTGTGGTTTTCGTTTTTTATCTCCTCCATTATCTCTGTGGGATTAACAGATGGATGCAGCCCTCTAAGTACATTTCGAAAACTTCTCTTCTTTTAACTTGTACGTGTAGAATTTTGTGTTTTTTTCTTTTAGTCCATTGACTAGATTTCTATAGTCTTCTGGCTCCGAGGTCTATATTTTGACCTTCATCTGTGATTATTGCTTTTGTGCTGTGTTCCTGTTTACATGTGTCGAGAAGAAATTTATTTGAAGGATTAATGTTTTGTACTCCAGCTATCTAGATAAGTGGTGGTTTAGCCTTCTTTACATCAGCTTCCCTATTGTGGTTCTCTCCATCAGCCTTCTTATGGTAGTCTTCTTCATTTGCACTATCGTCAAGATTATTAAAATCCATTTTCGGAATTCTCGGTATTTTCATTATTTAACCTGTAGCCTTTTATTTTAGGTTGTTTTGATTTTGGAAGTTTTACGCGGCTGCTTCTTTTTCTTTGGTTGTCATCGATTCCGCTTTAACCTTCTTTGGGCAGCTGAAGTTTATGAATCTTCAGCGTGTTAGAATTTCGGGGCAACAATATATATTTTCGCAGCTCATTTATTTGTTGTTTTAGTTCCTGGTTGCCCTGCATTAGAAGATTCATTTTTTCAAGTTTTTATAAATGTAATCATTAATCATGTACTTTATTTAAGTAAATATGCGTACAATAAAAACCTTAAAAAATACAGTATATCTTACCAATTTATTAAGTCAATTTTGTTTTTTTAATAAACTTTAGTATTATTTTTTTGAAAGCACCTTTGTTTTAACTTAATATCACGAATAAAAGAAAAAATCTGATGTGGTCAACACATAATTGACCGCAGTGTACATCGCCTAGTTTAGTGAAAGTGTTATAGAAGGTTATGAAAATGCATTTTGAACATTTAGACATGGTAAAAAATGTAAAATTGGCCCGAGCCGTTTGGTTTCCGAGCACTGATCTTCCCAAAAAAAAATATAGATTCATTGTTTTGACATCCGAACTTTTCATCAAAATTTCATCAAAATCGGTTCAGCTGAACTTGAGATAGACGCGTGTACACACAGACCGGCAGACCGACATTTCTCTAAAATTAGTTTATTGACGCTTTTCTACTATGGAGAAATGCGTTCCCAACAAAAACTCGACATCGAAAATTTGGCGCAATCACATACCCTACCTCATTGTACAGAATGTGATCGGTAAAAATTTAATAAATATAAATTATACTTAAATCTTCATTTTATTTATTAACAAAAATAATAAATATAATTTTTCACTAAATTTAAATTAAAATTAAATTTTAAAACACAAATCCTTCCTGTACGAAATTTATATCTAGACTACAGAAATTCAATAGTCTTTTTATTCGTAAAAACTTATACTCTATACACGAATGCAAAAATATTAAGATGCCATGGTACGTTATAGGAGTTTATAACAGAGCACAAGAGATTTTAATTATGTAAAATTAATGGTAATGGTATAAAATTGCATATCAAATAAAATTTTTACAATCCATATTAAACTATGATTTCATTTACAAATATATACATATATTGCATTTTAAATACTTATTTAAAACATTTTTGAAGTTTCAAAAAATAATTATGAAATTTATGTACACACAATAAAAACAGGAATTTTGAAAAGCAACTTTATTAAAATTATAATATTTGTTATACGTTACGTGTACGTATAATAAAAGTGTGCAAAACCTTGTGCCAAAAATTTTGATAATAGTATTTAAAAAAAATGAACACCAGTGATTATTAAAAGAAAAGTTTGCTTAATCAAGTACGCTTTGCAATTTATAAGACAAATAACGTATGTATTATATTTAAAAAAAGTCAATTAATAGTTTTGCTAAAAATAATGTTAAATCAAAAATTTAATTTTTTAAGGCAAAAATGTATGTCAAGAAATAAAATAATGTAATATAAAAATGTAATATAAAAATGAACTGTTATAAAAGTAATCAAACTAAAAAATTTCCCACAAAAGTTTTTACAATAATAACTACAATACATAAGTAAATGAGTAAAATAACAAATTATATTATACTGCAGCCAAACCAATTTATAAAATGTCTACTTCCAATTTACATATATAAGTATAAGTAATTGTTTAGTAGAAAATATTATATGTTAGTGACAAATAAAATTAGTTAGATATACTTATTCTTTATATTTATACATTTAATTGGTAGATTGGCTTATAAATTATGTTTCTATTTAGAAAGCAATAAAAAATGTTTCAATGTACGCACAAAAAATTTAAAATTTTGAACTTTTTCTAAATATACATATGTATGTAAATGAATACACGTTTAATGAAATAACAAAACGTACTGTGTCGAAAATTTTATACACTTTAAAAAAACAATACTGAGTCATGTCAGTAAGAAGCACTTCAAATCATAACAAGAACACCGTTAATGCAACAATTTCAAGAAATGTTTCAGGGGTTTTATCATCTACAAATTTAATTGCTGTAAAAAATAGCGACAAAAAACAGCAGTCTCAGGATACTTTGCAATTAGCTGTACCTCCATCTAGAATATTATCACCAAATTCTCCAATATCCGAGTTTCATCAGCAACTCCAACAGCATTTGCAGCAAAATTTACAGCAGCAATTACAACAGTCAAAATTTTTTCAATGTCAGCAAAAGAATAACCAAGAACAACAAGTTTCTACCTCAGAAACTATTGATGATAATTTGTCAAATTTAACTAACAATATTTTGATAAATAAGAATAATAGTAATGATAAGGATCATGTTTATGAAAATTCCGATAATGATAGATTATTTGAATCTCCAGTGCCACAAAAACAACAACAACTTAATTCAAACATGGTGGTGAATAATGAAATTCCAAATGCGAATCGAAAACAAACTAAAGTATGTCTGGTCGCGAAAATGCAGAAATCTGTGACAATAACTGTGACACCACAACGAAGTAATTCAATGGATTATTTGAATTTTGAAGAAAAGAGGCAATTAATAGCATCTTCATTATCTTTATCAGATATACTACAGTGTGGACCAGCTGTCGCAGCAGCAGCAGTAGCCAAAGAAGCAGTGAATACAGTCAACATCGGTAAGCGAAAAGTATTTTGTAATTGATATATTGTTTCAACTTATAATTTGATTGTGAATTACATACATACATTTTATATACGTACTTACAGGTAGTCGCAAAAGTGTTGACTTACTTTTAAATTCTTTAAAGATATTTCGTTTTTGACTCTTGTAACTTAAGTGTAAATAAAGTAAGCCATATTTATAAAGTTCGTATATTATATATACTCGTATTATATATATTTCAAATAAAAATTTTTTTTCCTACCAGGTGGAAAAATCCTGAAAGACAAGGAAGGACGGCGCTACCTGCCTTTTTCCTCCGTCAGTGGGGGGGGGGCATGACTTCTACCCTAAAAGAATCACCTAAACTCTGAAGGGATAAAACTGGTACTACAGACCAACTATTGTTGCGCTAACTTTGTCTTTCCGTACAGTAATTAAATACCTCCCATAAGAAAATTGGTATTTCGTGTTAAATCGAAAGGTCTTGCTCGTTTAAATGTTTTTGTCTTCATGCTGTTCTAGACGAGCCCTATGCTTTGTTGCATAACTCCTAATTTCACCTACAACCGAAGGAATTCCTAAGTCCTAAGAAAGTTCTGATATTTTTTTAGTTATAAAAAAGTTAATAAAATCAGGAATCTTGTAAGTGTCAGTAAGCCAATAAGTAAGAGAGCCACTGGAGTGATAGCAACAACCTAGTTCTTGAATAGTTTTTTTTAGCTCTCATCCTCTAGTTGAGGTGATTCTTAAACCCCAATCTGTATGTTCGGCATATGTTACCTCCTATTAGATATCTATGTCCATGTTTGTACAGGAGATCTTTAAAAGTATTTTTCTTAATGCTGCAATTTAGTGGACAGTATACAGCAAGAGCACCAAAGTCCTGTTTAGTAGACTTAATTTTTATCGCAATAAGCTGAATTTCAGTAGTTTCTATCTTGAATTCTTCATAATGTTCTATACTTTCTTTTATTAGTATTAGATGTATCGTTTAATAGTGATTGTAACCTTTTATTTCAAGAGCCGTATTATATGTCAAATGAGCTTCCGACAGCAAACAAGTATTTATATTTCTCGTTTTGTGAAAAATTTCTAATTCTTGTTTCTTATTAAGAACACCATTAGCATTCCAAGTTACTATACGTACATCTTCATTTACGTACATCTTTTCTTAATTTCTTTGGTGTCCTGGTATACACCTCAGTGTATTTTTTTTTCTATTTTTAATAATCTTTTAGAGATCTCGTCAATTATGCATCAATCAACATATTATGCATCATTTGCATAATGTCTGCGTCAGTTCTTTTTATTTGTGGGGTTTTGTTCTCAGGTTCCTTATTATTATTCTTATATCCTGTTTTGATTTGAAGCGCTTGTGAATATGACACTCCCTTAAACACTTTTCTGGTTGTTGTTATTTTGGATATATTTAGAGCTTAACTTGATTTTCTTTGATTAAGTTTAACTTGATTTTCTTTGAATTTATTCTTTAATATTCTGTTTTGCAATTCTTTTGCAACCAAACAACTTCGACAGCCATCAGAGTGTGTCTCATTAAAGTTCGCAGATTTGGGCTGAAAATTATCTTTCTTGTTGCACTCTGCCGTCATTTAGTCTCTCTTTGGCTAAACTTTTGTGTGTGTTAAAATCTCTCGCACCTTTTGCATTTCGGAATGGACCTGCTGCTTCTAAGAGCTTCAATTTTTACTCTCATGTGTTATAAGTATTCTATTTAATAGATTTTGGTTATCTCTTCCGAATGGTCAAAAGATAACTAAAAGAGCGGCAGTTGTACTGAAATATATTTTCCATTTTCTTTTTTCATTTAATTTACAAATCTAGACATTCAAAGCCTTTGCTAATGAGCTCATTTTTATGTCCTTGGGCTCACACGATGGATGGAAATTTCGAGCCATAACTTTACCTGGCTTTGTCAGTTTATTCTCATACGTGTGCCACTCCAATCTAGCCTTATTTGGGTCAAAATTTAAAAGTTGGCACAAATGAATTTTTTTTTCCAAATTATTTTTTTAGAATTTTTTATTAAAATTATTTTTTTATAGTTGCCTATTATATAATGTACAATCTCCTCAAGTGGTCCGGAGGTTTTGTAAATATTTTAGAAATTATAACCAAAAAAGTAAGCTCAGGTTTGAATTTAGTTCAACTACGTTACCGATAAAAATAGCTTAAATTTTTCGATCTCTTCAATGGAAATTATTATTTTCATATTTTACTCTCATTTGTAATTAAAGTTATAAATAAATTTATTCTGTAATATTGAAAAATCATTTTTATAAAAAAATAAATTATAAGTTATTTCAACTTTGTTACTAATTTTAAATTTAAAGTTTTTATTTTTAAAATAAAACTATTTAATAGTTTTTTTCTTGCAGGAATTTTTACATAACTGCTTTAAAAATTAATTTTTTATTCTAAAAATGTCCATAACAAAAAAATTAAAAGCTTAAATTTGAAGAAAAAAGTTTAAAACAATATTTTTTTTTGTGACAAAACAGTAACGCAGTGGAAAATATAGTAACACTGTTGAAAAATTTGATTCAGTCTTCAGTATATTAACAAAAAAAATTAAAACAAAAACAGTAAATTTCCTGCTGTTCTGGAATATGCTAAGATATTAACTTTTTTCCTCTCGATGAAGTTGTATATATTCGGTTAAGTTTTTTATTTGCATTTTTAACAATATACATATTTAAAATATAAAATAGAATGCGGCATTTTGTCTAATAATCAATAAAACATGTTATCGCCTATTTGTATGTAAAATTATTAAGAATTTATTCACCAACTTAGAGTAAACTGCCTTAAAAATCAACTTTGTTACCATGTCCTCAGTAGCGTTACTTAAATTTAGTAACACAGTTGAACAGTAACGCAGTAGAATATTTTAAAATAAAAAGCGTATTAATATAAAACTACAACATATTTTTGCATTTCAAGGTATACAGTTGGTTAGTTTACTTGGTTTGCTTAATAATATGCCACTTTTTTGAATTTTTAAAAATAATATTTAAAAAAAAAAACACATAACACAGTTGAAAAAAACGTTTTACATTCACGGCAAAAAAAATTCAAACTATCTCCAGCGATGTGTTTGGAACAATATTCACCACAAGCCCGAATATACTTATTGCGTATTCTTTAAAACAAATAATGATGCCAAAATATTTAAAAAAATGATTAATTTTAAGAAGTTTTATGATGTAACATAGTTGAAGTAACGCAGTTGAACAATTCTTGTAACACACTTTTTTTCTGTTAAAATGAAATTAAAATAAATTAAAACTTAAAAACTAATTTTTGATTTTTGTTTAAAAATAATGAAATAATTTTGCAATATAATTTAAAATATATCCTTCTGTGGAGGAAGTTCATGAAAATTTAAATTGAAAATTAATAAAGTTGGGTCAAACCACTGGTTTGTATTGTAGCACTTTTCCCTTCAACAAGTGAAAATTCTGCTTTTAAATACAGTTTATGTATATTTATCACACTATTAAAATTATTTTCGTTCATATACAAAGCTATTTCTAGGATTGCATATATTTAGGATGATGCATACATGCAGTCTTTGAAATAAAGCAAAAATTAATATAAAGAGGGGTTAACATAATGCTCAATTTTAAGGGTTAATTGTGTGTGTTAAGAAAAATAATTATATTTTTGAATGTTATGAAATTTACCGTTAGCTTTTTGTGTTTATAGAAATTTGAAAAAGCTAGCGGTTTCGGAAATATAAGGTGTCAAAAATTCAAATTTTACAAATTTCAAGAGGCGATAACTTGAGAGGGGGTGGAGATGGAAAAAAATTTTCTTCTAACAAAATGAACTCTTTGTTAATGTCTAAAAGCCCCTAAAATTTCAAGCTTCTACAGGCTGGGGTCTAGAAGAAAAACGAAATCAAAAATTTGGAAAAAAAGACTTTAGATAACGGTAAATTTGAACGGCCATTTTGTTTTCTAAAGTTTAACTATAGTGTATCGCGCTAGGGGAAGCAAGTCGCTGCCTCTCTGCGTTTGCAAAATTTCAAAAATGCTTATGGTTTCATTGCAACAAATAGTTAAAAAAAGGCCAATTTTAGGGTTTTGGGGGGGTATAACTTTTAGAGGGGGGGAGATAGCTAAAAATTTTGTTCTACGGAAATAAGTTTCTAGTGAAGATCTATGTACGTATGAAATTTCAGCTTTCTATCTTCAAGGATGTAGAAGTTTTGTAAACAGACACACGGACAGACGGACGGACGGACGGACAGAGTGAAACTAATAAGCACTTTTTTTCAAATTTTTTTTTGGAAAAGTGCTAAAAATGTGGCCTGTGACAAGTTTCATTTATATGAAAACAGAAAACGCGCTCCGACAATTTTCCAAAATTTCCCAAAAATACTTACTTTTACAATTTAAAAATTTTTTTTATTTAAAATTAATTTATTTATTTTATTAATTATAGTTTAATTTATTTTCTAAAAAAGTATTTATTTAAGTGTACATTTTTGTGACGCAAATGTGCTAACTTTTAAATTTTCACCCATTTATAGCTTTTGTTCACAATCTGTATTCATTTTCATTCTCCACGTTAATTTTTAATTGGTGTTGAACCTAACGTTTATTTTTTCTTCTTTTAATATCTTAACTATGTGACAGTAGTTTTTAATGTTGCTCAATATAATCGGAGGAGACTTGTGCTACTTTGGATTTTCAGCCTTCATTTTAGGGCTGGTTTCATTATTTTTTTTTTAACTTTCTTCTCTGAATTTATTTCAGGAAATTTTTCCATTTTTCGCTTCTTTGCATTATTTTGTTTTAGAATCCAATTAGTTTCTCTATCCAGCTCTTCCCCGTCGTCCCCGTAACTTCGGCATCTTTGTTCTTCTTTTCTGTTGATGCAGATTTTATTTGATTTTTTAAATTTACATTCTCTACTTATAATTTGCATATCTCGTTTTGTAGCACCTTACAAAGACTTTCTAACTCGGTTATTCTTGGGTCCTGAGTA